TTGACCTCGAGTTTTGGAGTTGTAGTTCACCTACCTCCAGAGAGCACTGTGGACTCAAACAATGGTGGATATGGATGAAACTTGGCACTCAATATGCCCAAATGTGAACACTGGTGGAGTTTGGGGGAAATAGACCTTGACATTAGGAGTTGTAGTTGCTGGGATTTATGGTTCACCTATAATCAAAGAACATTCTGAACCCCACCAATGATAGAATTGGACTGAACTTTCCACACAGAACCCCCATAACCAACAGAAAATACTGTGTTTTCCAATAGTCTTTGTCAACTCTTCTGACACCCCCTCGCAACCCGCCAGGCATCCTGACCCCCAGGTTAAGAAACACTGCCATAGGAGGAAGCGTCAGCTACTTGACTCCCCCCACCCCATGCACCAGTTCTTGGTTATTTTATGATGGAGCCCTGCCGGAAGTAGTTTTAAGTCATGGGATGGGAGCATGTGGGCTCAGTCATAAAACTGTCAAGGAACCAGTGCATGCCACCAAAAACTACCCCATATGACGAGGTCAAGTGTCTCGATTAAAGCAAGCCATAGTCCCTTTACCTTCTGTTTTGGTCAGACCTCATCTGGAATAACCCTGTGTCCAGTTCTGGGAAAACAAATGATGAAGGATATTGACACGATGGAATGCGTCCAGAGAAGGTGACCAAAATGGTCAAAGGTCTGGGAACTATGAAACCTTGTGAGGAGTAGTGTAGGGAGTTGGGTGAGTTTATCATGCAGAGGAAAAGGGGACATGAATGGGGACATTATAGCCATGTTTAAATAATGGAAAGGAAGCAAGCTTGTTTTCCACTGTTCCAGACACCAGAACATGGAGCAATGGATTGAAACTGCAGGAAAAGAGATTCCACCTAAACATCAAGTAGAATGTCCTGATGGCAAGAACTGTTCAACAGTAGTGAAGTCTCTTTCTCTGGGGCTTTTTAAATAGAGTCAGGATGGCCACCTGTCAGGAGAACTTTGACTGACAGAATGGGATTGGATTGGATGGGCCTTGGTGTATCTTCCAACGATATCAGTGTTTCTCAACCTGGGGGTCAGGATCCCTGGGGGTGTCATGAGGGGGGTGTTGCCAAAGATTATCAGAAAACACTGTATTCTCTGGGTTGTTGTAGGTTTTCCGGGCTATATGGCCATGTTCTAGAGGCATTTTCTCCTGACGTTTCGCCTGCATCTATGGCAAGCATCCTCAGAGGTACTGAGGTCTGTTGGAATTCTTATTATTTGAGAACACAGAAATGCTGGACCACTCTCACGACCACCATGTCAGACTACACAGAGAAGCCATTGAAATCCACAAGCATGTGGACAATTTCAACAGAAAGGAGGAAACCATGAAAATGAACAAAATCTGGCTACCAGTATTAAAAAACTCTAAAATTACAACAGCAAAACAACAGAGAGTAAACAATCAGGCATATCAAATCACCTCTCAAAGAAAGATTCCCCCAGGCACTTCCAAGCCATTAAATGCTAATAAAGGTGGTCAGTTGAAACATTCACACCTAGCTCCAGCAGACAAAAGTCTTTTGTCCCATCCTGGTCTTTCCACAGATATATAAACCCATTTCCCTACTTCCAACAGACCTCACTACCTCTGAGGATGCTTGCCATAGATACAGGCAAAACGTCAGGAGAAAATGCCTCTAGAGCATGGCCATATAGCCCGGAAAACCTACAACAACCTAGTGATTCCGGCCATGAAAGCCTTCGACAATACACTGTATTCTCTGTTGGTCATAGGGGTTCTGTGCGGGCCGTTACTGGATGGCTGCGTGCCAGCAGGTTGAGGGTGAATCCAGCAAAGACGGCGATCCTATGGCTGGGTGGATCGGGCAGTTGGGACATCCATCTGCTCACCCTGGATGGCAAGGCGTTACGCCCGTCATCATTGGTAAAGAGTCTGGGGAGTCCTTTTGGACCCTCTGCTGACAATGGAGGCCCAGGTCTCCGCCGTTACCAGAACCGCCTTCTTTCACCTGTGGCAGGCTAGACGGCTGGCCCCCTACCTGTCCAGGGACGACCTAGCTACGGTGATCCAGGCCACAGTCATCTCAAGACTGGACTACTGTAACGCCCTCTACATTGGCCTCCCTCTGTCAGTGATTTGGAAGCTCAAGTTGGTACAAAATGCAGCTGCTCGGCTTCTTGCGGGAATTCCGATGAGATGCCACATAACACCAATCTTACTACAGCTGCATTGGTTACCAATTGAGCACTGGATCACTTTCAAAGTGATGGTACTCACCTTTAAGGCCTTGCATGGTCTGGGGCCAATGTATCTGAGGGATCGTCTCACCCCCTACCAACCCCAGAGATCCCTCCGTTCTGAGGACCAAGATCTATTGGAGGTCCCCAGTGTCAAGACCTTGCGTCTAGCGGCAACCAGACGCAGAGCCTTCACAGCAGTGGCGCCATCAGTCTGGAATGCTCTGCCACCTGAGGTTCGTGCCCTGCGGGACTTACCAGCTTTCCGCAGGGCATATAAGACATACCTGTTCCAACAGGCTTTTAATGTTTGATAAAAATGCCAAGGTAAATTTACATACCACAAAAGTTAAAAACGAAGGTTAAAACAAAGGTTAAAATAGACCAGCTATTACACAATCCTAATCCAGTTCTAATATCTGCGTCACTCCTACAGTTTAACCCAGTCTCCTCCAGATACGCAGTTCTCAGCTGAATTGCTTTATAAAGAAAATGAGCCGTTTGATGTGTTATCTTAGCATTCTGGCCAGCCATTAAGAATGTAGTTTTGATATAGGGATCCCAGTGAGTCGTCTGTGTAATGAATGGTCCGAGGTACTGATTTCTCTCTTTCTTGTATAAGATACAACTGAACAATACATGTGTAATATCCTCTACCTCTGTCGCCCCACAGATACAAAATCATTCGTTATATGGAACTTGGTTAAACCTTCCATGTTTAACCATTGTATCCATCTGTTCAAATTGGGTTCTAGTGAATACCCTCCTTAGATCTTTTGGCATTTCTGTCTTTAGGTATTTTCGGCTGTTTGAAATGTACATTTGAAGTGACTTAACCATTTCAGTGAGCCAGCTTTACGGAGGGTGGTAATGTCTTTCTGAGACTCTATGTTTTGTATTCGTTATGCCACTATTTTTGGGTCTAGTTCTTTTAGGAGATTTGGGTATGGAATTGGAAGTCCACAACTCCTAATGTATTTTGTAAGTTGCACTAGCCAAGAGGACTGATGCTGGTTTTTGATCTGCTCTAACAGGCACAATTTTGAAAGTCTGTTATCTGCCATGGCATTTAGTTTTATCCAGTATTTATATGCCCTAATTTTGGATAAACCATCAACTGTACATACTCCTGTTTCTGCTCTCACCGCTGCAGCTGAGGTCCTTTTATCCACTCCCAGAATGTTCCGTAGGTGTTGTGTGTGAGCTTGTTCTAATAATGATCCTTGGTTTAGGTCCGACTTCCACTCTGTACAGGAGCATGGGGGTAACCTTGGCCTTATATACTTTAAGAACCGGGTATAAGGATCCTGGTTGGCTATAATTTGTTAATTTTAGCAGTTGATTTTATTGTAGGTAAACTACAAATCCCAGCAACTACAACTCCCAAATGTCAAGGTCTATTTTCCCCAAACTCCACCAGTGTTCACATTTGGGCATATTGAATATTCATGCCAAGTTTAGTCCAGATCCATCATTGTTTGAGTCCACAATGCTTTCTGGATGTAGTTGAACTACAACTCCCAAATTAAAGGTCAGTGGCCACCAAATCCTTCCAGTATTTTCTGTTGGTCATGGGAGTTCTCTGTGCCAAGTTTGGGTCAATTCCATCATTGGTGTTCAGAATGCTCATTGATTGTAGGTGAACTATATATCCCAGCAACTACTACTCCCAAATGTCAAATCCCCCCCCCAACGAAAATAACTATGTGGTTGTATAACTATACAACACGAGGAACTGTATTAATGGGTCACAGCATTAGGGAAATTGAGAACCACTAAACCACTGAACTATATTTATTTTATTTATCATGTCAGGAGCGAACCAAAACAGTTGTATTGCATTAAAAAAACAGACAAACAAACAAACAAAACACAAAATTTGCAGACTTGGTGTTCTATTAAATGTCCTTTGACCAGTAGCTGGCCACTTGGAGTGCTTCTGGTGTTACTGCAAGGAGGTCCTCCATTGTGCATGTGGCAGGGCTCAGGTTGCATTGCAGCAGGTGGTCTGTGGTTTGCTCTTCTCCACACTCGCATGTCGTGGATTCCACTTTGTAGCCCCACATCTTAAGGTTGGCTCCGCATCTCGTGGTGCCAGAGTACACTCTGTTCAGCGCCTTCAAAGTCGCCCAGTTTTCTGTGTGCCCAGGGGGGAGTCTCTCATTTGGTATCAGCCATTGATTGAGATTCTGGGTTTGAGTTTGCCACTTTTGGACTCTCGCTTGCTGAGTTGTTCCAGCGAGTGTCTCTGTAAATCTTAGGAAACTATTTCTTGATTTAAGTCGTTGGCGTGCTGGCTGATACCCAAACAGGGGGTGGGCCGGAGATGTCACTGCCTTGGTCCTTTCACTACTGACAGGCATGTAGCGGGGGGGGGGGGAGGGGCTTCAGCCCCCCCCCCCCCAATTCTCAGGGTGGTCCACAAGAAGGCCTTACTGGTACATTATTTAAACTGTTATGTTTATTCATATCATGATCTGATCACCATGCTCAATATATCCCATATGCATGGGGGTATTGGGATAATGATACAAAAGGTTTGCTAGGGTAGATCCTCAGCCTTTGAATCAAACTCACCCCCCCCCCCCCAAATCAAACTCAGCACCCCCCGAATCAAAATCCTGGCTACGGGCCTGGACTGAACTATATGATCCCATGCATATGGTAGTCCTGGAGATAAGCATGGTTTTGTTTTGTTTTTTTTTTGTAACGTCTCATCTCAGTAATTACAGTGCCATTACATTTTTCTCTTTTTCTCTTCTCTCCAGCCCAGAACTGCAGTTACATTTTTCAAGGTCCAAACGGGACGATACAGAGCCCAGGATTCCCGTACGGCTATCCAAATTATGCAAACTGTACATGGACAATCACCACCAACGAGCAGAACCGAGTGCAGCTTGTATTCCAGTCCTTTGCCCTCGAAGAAGATTTCGATGTGCTGTCAGTTTACGACGGATTGCCCCAGCAGGAAAATCTAAGAACAAGGTATGGGAAAGCAGAGAATCATTCTGTAAGGTTCTTTTTATGGCTGCCCCACTTGGAAGAAGAATGTTCATAAACACGTCAAGATGTTTGTTGGTTGGATTCAAGCACTTAGGTGGAGGGTTTTATGTTTCCATAAAAGCAAGGGTTTATTCTTCTAACTGGGGAGTTATCTCAACTGTCTGGATTTCACTGGCCTGATAAGGAGTAGAAGAAAAATATTGTTGGAAAGTGTTTATTGGTGCAGCATTATCAGCACCATTCCTGCTTGAGACATCTGGAGAAGTTAATTAGAAGATGGAGGCAGAGGAGTAGGGCTTAAACTTGAGCTAGACATTTGTCAAAGCCAATTCCCCCTTTGCAGGTCTTTGTTATGGTTTGACAGATCAGTGCTTGGCAAGTTCTGAAAGTTATATCCTCCAACTCTAGCAGTATGGCAGGGACAGTCCCAATTAACCCTCTGTCATCCTACATTTTCAGCTGCCTTTGCAATGACCCAGTTTCGATCTCCCCCTTCCACCTTTCCTTGTTGTCCTCAGCATACTTGAATTGTTGGAAACTGAACTCAAATTACAAAAATAGATTCTGCTCAATGAATGTGAGCAGAGGGTCTTGACTTGCCTTTTCCAGTAGTCTCATTTAAAAATACACTGCTACAGGTTCTCCAGGTTTGTGTATTTTTCCTCATTAATACCTTTGGCCATATTGATAACACTATAGTGTTTCTTTATTTGGAGGTTTCTCAGTTTTTCATTTGTGAAACAAAGAGATGAAATGAGATATTTTGAATCTCTTCACCAAAATTTGAAATCTATGGCTGAAATCATAGTACAGCTCACAGGGAAAACTAACATCAGGGGACAAGGAGTTACTTTATCTGATGTTATTTCTCCAAGTAGCATTGGGTATATTTATGTATCTGGAGATACACAGTTCTCCAGAAGTTACTGGACTGTACTCCCAGCATGTTTCACCAGTAGTTGGGGCTGATGGGAGCTACAGTCCAACCATGTCAAATTCTAGTCTCTTTTGTTTGTTGTGTTCTATATCTGTGTGGTTCTGATTGCTTTTTGAGATATTTAGTTGAGTGGAGAAGAGAAAGTGAAGAATCAACTTGACATGGAACAGTGGATTCCACCTGAATATTAGGAAGCATTTCCCGATGGTAAGAGCCGTGCAGTGATGGAATATTCTCTCTGAGAAAGTGGTGGAGTCCCTGTCTCTGGAAGTTTTCAAACAGAGACTGGATGGATATCTGTTGGGAGTGCTTTGATTGTGCATTGTGACAGTGCAAGTGGCACCACCTATGTGTAGAACTGTTAGTTGCAAGATTTAAACTGTTGTATCATGCTTAATCCTGACTTTTTACACTAGTTACACGACCTTAAGATCGTCCGGGGAGGCCCTGCTCTCGGTCCCGCCGGCGTCACAAGCGCGGTTGGCGGGGACGAGAGACAGGGCCTTCTCGGTGGTGGCCCCTCGGCTATGGAATGCCCTACCAGTGGACATCAGGCAGGCTCCTTCGTTACTGGTGTTTCGGAGGAGGGTGAAGACGTGGCTCTATGAACAGGCATTTGGATAACTATGCAATGACAATTAACTCAGTATGACGGCATTGGAACAAGGAACGGAAAAGGATTATGAGAACGGGATCTGATTCTAATTGAGGCGTCGATGACTATGTGTGTTGTTTGTGTATGTGCGTCTTATATATTGTTCAGTGTTGCTCATTTTATTGTAAATCGCATTGAGTCGCCGTCTCAGGCTGATAAATGTGGTATACAAATGGAGTAAATAAATAAATAAATAAATAAATAAATAGTTATGTATAGTTGGATGGATTGGTTACTTATAGCTGTCAATCAGTATTGTTTGGCTCCACCTCTTCCTGGAGGAGGGGAGTGCTTCCCTTTTCATTCTGCCATCAGAGTTTCTATCGGATGGACGTGAGTAAGAGACTTGGCTCTAAAAGCCCCTGCTTAAATTACCTCTCAGCACCAGTTCTGAGGTTTTTTTACCCTTGAGACTTATACTTCATGTTCAGACCAACCTGAACGATGTTGGAAGTCTCAAGCGTCTTCAAACTGGTTCTTTTGGCACCAGAGGAAGATCCTGAGTCTTCAAACATAGGCCATCTGACCTGGGGTTGTGGTTTGCTCTGGCATTCACAGCCATTGAGGAAAGAGGAAATTTGGAAAGGCTTCTCAGCTTCAAACTCCTTGGACCCAGGACTAACTGAGACTGTAATGTATATTTTCCTTCATCTCTCTGAAGTTTCCAGCTCACTTCTTTAAAAAGATAACTCATTGTGAACAATAAATACCATTTTGAGTTATCTGTTGTGTTTTGGTCTTTGGGAGTTCCAGTTTCCTATAGGAGGGCAAGAAGCAATCCCTGTCCATGCCTCCTTCATTAAGAGTTATAGCCCCCAGGCGCGACGGCACATGCATATTTACCAGAAAAAAACAGATTGGACAGGATGGCCTGGGGGGTCTCTTCCAACCCTATGATGCGATGATTTCAAGAAAGAGTGTCTCTTTAATATTCTTAGATAAAGGATGATCCAGGTAAATTCATTCTGGTTGATCTCAAAGCTTCTAAACAAATGGGGATTAGGCAATGCTACTGTTAGGTAGATCTGTAACTGGTTAACCGACTGAACCCAAAGAGTGCTCACCAATTATTCCACTTCATCCTGGAAAGAAGTGACCAGTAGAGTGCCATAAAGAGGGCTCGGTCCTGGGCCCAGTTCTGTTCAATGTCTTTATTCATTACTTAGATGAAGGTTTAGAGGTCATGTTTATCAAGTTTGCAGATGACACCAAATTAGAAGCAATAGCTAATACTCCAGAGGACAGGATCAGAATTCGAAATAATTTGAAGAGATTAGAGAGCTGGGCCAAAACTAACAAATGAATTTCAACCAGGACAAATGTAAGATACTACACTTAGGTAGACAAAAATGAATGCACAGATACAGAATGGGTGGTGCCTGGCTCGACAACAGTCCATGTAAGAAAGATCTTGGAGTCTTTGTGGACAACAAATTGAACTTGAGCCAACTGAGTCATGCAGCAGCTAAAATGGCCAATGCATCAAAAGGAGTCTAGTATCTAGATCAGTGGTTCTCAACCTGGGGTCCCCAGATGTTTTTGGCCTACAACTCCCAGAAATCCCAGCCAGTATACCAGCTGTTAGGATTTCTGGGAGTTGAAGGCCAAAAACATCTGGGGACCCCAGGTTGAGAACCACTGGTCTAGATCGAGGGAAGTCATGGTGCCTTTCTACTCTGCTTTGGTCAGACTTCACCTGGAATACTGTTGCCAATTCTGGGCACCACCATTCAAAAGATATATTGACTCTAAGCTGGGAGGAGTCCAGATGAAGGCAACTAAAATGCTCAAAGGTCTGGAGACCATGAATCCCTATGAGGAGCATCTTAAAGAGCTGGGTATGTTTAGCCTGCAGAAGAGAAGGTTGGGAGGAGACATGTATAAATATGTGAAGTGATGTAATAAGGAAGAGGGAGCAGGCTTGTTTTCTGATGCCTTGGAAACTAGGACTCAGGGCAATGGGTTGTTTGAAATTACAGGAAAGGAGATTCCACTTAAACATTAGGAAGAATTTCCTGACTGTAATAGCTGTTCAGTAGTGGAACTCTCTGCCTCAGAGTTTGGTGGAAGCTCCTTTCATGGAGGCTTTTAAACAGAGGGACATGGCCATCTCTTAGGGATATTTTGTGCTTTTCCTGCCTGGCAGGAGGTAGGACTAGATAGCCCATGTGGTCTCTTCCAACTCTAAGAGTCTAGGTAGAGTAGAAAGGTTGACGTTTTATACTATAGCTAGCTATAATAAATAAAATACAATAGAATATATTGTATTTTGTCTATTTGCATTCATAATGTGGCATTGAATTTTGCCTTGTTTGTAAGCTGCACTCAGTCCCCTTTGGGGTGAGAAGAGCAAGATAGAAATATAGTAAATAAATAAATATAGCTGCCATTTTTTTAAAAAAGTAATATTTGCTTTTCCATTTCTGAAAAATGGCTGAATAATTTGCCTTTGGGTCATTTTAATAAATGACTGAGTGCTGCAGGCCACTGATCTGTGTTATGGACATGATCTCTTGTGATTCACCTCACTGCCTACACAGCCACAACAAAGCACAAAGTGGCAGCCTGAGTTTGCCTCTGAATATAATGTGTTATTTATCTTTCACCATTGATCTGAGGCCATTTGATTACAGTGAAATTGGATGAATCTAACAGAAAAAGCACAGGAGTGCTCCAGAACGTGGTTGTTCCATACAAAGTCACAATCATTGTGCCAAAAAAGTGCCCTTTTTGCAAGGAAAAATCCAAAATGCTATCTCCTTCCCCAGGGTTGTGGGAAATTTGCAAACATCTCATAATCTTGTATTTTGAAAAGTTTGAGCCGAAGCCAGTGTGTTGCCCGAAATATGGTCTTCCAGGAGTTTGGGGTGTCAACTTCTGGAATCCCTAATACTTGGCAGAAGCAGTTGAGGCTCCTGGGAATTGAAGTCCAAAACACTGACAAGCAAACATTTGCATTCCTATTTGAGTGTGGATAAGTTAGCAGAAAAATAAAAGCAGCTACAAAATTACTCTCTCTGAGTGTTCGTGTTGAACTCTAGATAGCTTTACAGGTTTCAGCACTAGCACCCAAAAAACCTAAATTTATTTAGGAGGCGAACAATGAGATGCGCCGAGATGCCTAGCGAGCTCATTGAATGTTTTATAATGTCCGTGACATTCCAACTGCAGAATTGCTATAGATGTGAAAATTGAGTTTTTAAATTACCATTTTAAGTATGCCTGTTAGAGAGGCAAAGATGTAGCTGGCAGGTCTGGCACATTCTTTAAGTACAGAAGAAATGAGGTTGACATCATAGAATTGCTGTTTCTGAGGACTACGAGAACCAAAGTAGGGCTGGGGAAGATCACTTTTACCTCTTTGAAAGCTGGCCATACTGGGTTGAATTT